AAAATAAAATTATATAAAGTCGATTTTTTAAACAAATATAATAATCATATTTATTTAAAGCCGATAATATTTGTACTGTACTCATAGTACCTACTAATGATGGCGTACTAATAAAATAATCACAATTTATAAATTATCATTACATTTTATTTGAACTTTATGTGTTCATTAAAATCCGAAATATACTTTTCGATCGAGTGCAGATAATTATTACAAAATTTATTTCATTTAAACAGTAGGTGTGAACTCCAAGCGCAAACTTAGTACACAGCTATTGTCCTAGAAATTTTCACTTGCATGATTTGTAGACATCGGAATGTGACGCATCCTATCATTCAATGTCCTTGCTTAGGCGTATTTATGTAAAAGATATATTCCATTTTGCATCTTCCGAGTTGCCTCTATTTATTTTATTACATCAATATGTAAAATATTGAAGTTTATTTAATAAACAACCACTCTGAAAAACTGATTTAAATATAAAATATCTCTGCAAATAGCAGAGATTAAAAAAGTATGTTTTAAAATTGATAGCGGTGATTATATGATCGAAATAGGATTTTTGAATGAAATAAGAAAACTATAATGATTTTAATGGTACGGCCCGCAGGCTTCATGCGACTTGCAAGTCATATCAATACGCCTCGCTATCGTAATACATCACTCACCTAATATATTTTTTGTGCTTTAGGACTAAACTCGAAGCCTTAAAAATGCACGCGCTTTATTTTAGTAGCGCATGCCTAGACGAATGAGAGCGTTAATAATGTTATGCTTTTCTATTAATATGTAATTCAGTATGTTTTTGACACCTCTATTGTAAACGTTCCCTAGACATTAGGATTTGTAAGTAGTTACTATAAAAACATTATTTATTGACCTTACTCATTTAGTTACAGTAATACCACATGACATCGATTATACATTAATTGTTTGTTTGCAACTACTCCGAATAGGCTCCGAAACTACTGGATTGCCTCTAAAAATTCTTCCACCTACGAGAAGCTTCATCATATGCGGTGAATATAGGCTATATTTTATCCAGAAAACAGCAAATAAAGGGATATAAATAGAAGTGGAAGTTTATATAGAGAATTAAAACATTACTATAGTAACGATTGTATACTATACAGTTTATCATTGTAATCATATTGTCATGTCATGATATGAATCGATGAAGTAAAATGCTTATAAAAATCAATAAAATATCACACAATTATCTAATAACACCAAATGGCATATCCAGGGTTCGTTAAAAGGGAGGAAAATCCGGTGTCGGTGATTGAAAATGACGGTTGGTAAAATTGCGGAGTCTACAATAATTCTATAAAAAAACATAGCCTGAAAAATGTTTCCGAATTTTTATGGCCGCCAAACATCTAAAAAAAAAGAAACACGAAGAGAACTCAGCAAGGCTTGGGCAACACGAACAATTTGGCGTAACTTTTAATACTTTGATATTTAAAGGAGGTGTAAGCAGATAGATCTAGATCTGGGTATATGAACAACCGGTACCAATGGTATGGTTCATCATCATCATCGGCCTTTTTACGTCCCCATTGCAGGGCCTCAGGTCTACCTTATGGATGGGTAAGGAGGATGGGCCATGACCCTCAACGCTGGCCCAATACAGATTGGAAGATATTTACGACACTGCAAATGCAGCCGGTACCAAGGGCATAATGTGCTTTCTGAAGCACGGAGTAGCTCAAGATAATAATTTTTGATTACCCATCCAGTGATCGAACTTTGTGAAATTTGCTTAACAACATCGTGGGCCGCGGCACTTATCCAATATGTCCCTAAACTTATTGGTTTGGTTATTAGTTAAAAAAAACTAAGCATCTAGAATGGGAATTAGTAATTAGTCAAATTTTGTTTTTCTTTGAGTGGGTTGCTAAGTACTCAAGAAAACCTGATAAAATTGAACTTTTTTATTTTTGTTAAATTCTGATGAAGATTTCTGGAGAGAAAAAGAATTAAATCTGAGAGAATAGTAATAATAACCTTTTTGTTCTCATATAAAGCCAGTTTAAAGTTCACCGAGTGGGTAAGTACCTGCAAACTATCGATCCGTTCGTTTTGACAACATAGAAACGCAGGATAAAAGAATGATGAAACTGATATACAAACTGCAAAAGTGGAAGCATGTAAAAATCAAAGTAGGCTAACCACTAACCTTTCACGATCAGACTGATCGAAGGGTAATGTTGGAAACCATAAAAACCGATGAACTGGCCCTTAAAATAAAAACCTGGGTTTAAAGTTACTGAAGTAATTAAAATAAAAAAAATAAAAAAATGTTTTCGCCATAAATGACAGTTAGATGATTCTGGGCAAGTTCGTCCCAACTTAAGCCTTACGCTTAATGTTATTACGCCTGAGGTCAAGAGGGAGCCCAACTCGGATAAAAAAAGTGAATCGTTGGAATTCCAAATACGCGATTTATCGTTTATTTATTTTTTTAGATGATATAAGTACCTACGTCGCCGAAGTATTTTCATTATTTGGTAGGACGACTCCACTTACTTGTTAAGAAAAACAATTTGAATTAAAAAAATATATATGAACAACCTCAGATCAATAACCTGCAAAATAAAATAAAAATTGAAAATCTATATAAAATTCACGGACAATTTGATGAATGTTGGCAAACGATCTTAATTAGAATATATTTTTCAAGAAATATATTGTTTACTCTTATTCTTATAGTTAGTCTCTCTACAATATATGAATATTACTCGTGTTGTCGTTCGGACCTTAATAATTAACGTGTATTTAGAATACATATTCGACAAACATTTAAGCGTCTATAAAATCTACTCAACAAGCGATCTAGCGGGTGTGACGATAAATAGATACACTTAATACATCATTAAACATTGCACCCATAGGTAATATGTAATCGTTAGTTCAACTTTAACCACTTGCCAAAGTGATTATTGCCGACGGCACGTTACACATAAAAGTGGGTAGAATGTCAGTAGGTCAAAGTGGAACGAAGCTGTTGTGCCGAGTGTGAGGTATGCGTAGACAAGATCTATTACAATAGTTAATGCAACTATTTATGTGGGCAATGAAATTGTCGTGTATAAAGTTATAAAAGAGAGACACTCGATCTGTTACCAGTTAAACTTCTATGTTTAGATGAACATAACCGAATATGGAATATTGAAATACCTTCTTAGGAAAATCTTGTAAATTGTCAATAAGTCGCTTTTGCTTGGCTTGTTTTTATGAAGAATAATTCCATTCATTTAAGGTTAACTATTTCATATATTCTCAATAAAAGGTTCATAAGAAATCGTGATTTAGGAGTTAATAAAAATAAAATCACACTAAAAATAATAGAAAAATAATAGAAAACTTGATAAATCGATGAAATTTTAATTGAATTTGAAAATTTTTAGTCTCATTTTGTATTGACGTGAAATCGCCTTATAGTCAGTTCAAAAGACAATGATTTATCGTAACGATTTGACTTTACAATCTGTTTATACAGCTTTACTATAAAACGAGCTTCAATAAAATGAATCTCGAACTCTACGTCGAGCACAGCGCTGTTACAACATAGACGTTCAATGAAATAAAACATTAATTATCTTTTGACGTGGGTTTAGAATTTAACGCATATTTTTACAGAAAATCACGTCCATATTGCCCATAACCGCAAACAACAACCAAAAAAATGTCGCGTCGGCATGTTTCACAAATCTCTAAAAAAATGTAATCGCCAACATTTGCCAGTAAGCAAAATGATACGGGTTCGAATTGAATGTCGTCTGGATCAGCTGAGACAGTTGATTTTTTTAGTATTTTTCTAGAAGACAATCATTATACGCGTGGACAATGATTATGGTGGATAACGAGCTAGTAGATTTTTTAACAAAATATTATACACTTTTTGAAGAAAAACATAAGGTGAAGTTATAAAGTTTTCTAAGGAAATAGGTCTTTATATAAATTTACCTGTCACTTCATAAGGCAACGAGTGACATGGAAATTACTGTGTCATCTCCTTGGCGGTGTCTACTGAATATGAAATTAGACGTTTGCCAAACGTGGCTTTATTACTTAAACCTTGTATTATCTAAAGTTATAGATATGTATAAAATATATGCAATGAAAAATAAGGGTATATGTATATGCTTAAATAATATTCCGCCGTTTCTATTCTGTATCACTTAATAATTAAATGCTTATTTGTTTTTAAGATTTGACGCCTAGATTAAGAATTTCCTTCCTTATATCACACCGATTTTTTTCTGAATTTACTGAACTGATGGTATTTACTCAAAAGCGGTCGTCGTCAAATGAATTGTCAATATGGATTAATGTTTTGGAAGTTAAATAAGAATATAAAAAACATTATAAATATTTCTTGGGAGAACACTATCATTTTAGTGATGGTATGGTAAGTAAATAATATAGAAAATAAATTAGATAATCATTTATTCTTACAAACAAATTAACGATAAAAATAAATTTATAACTTTTTACATTTTAACAATTGATCTAAGGATTGTAGGCTGGATAATCGCATTCACGGTGAATTAGTCACGGTTCTAACGCATTTTATTTACAAGTTCGTTTGAAAACAATAACACAACAAAATACCAGGTACAAGGCTCTTGCGTTCTTATGAAATTATAAAATTGATTAATGATAAGTATTAAATTCAAGATTGCACATTGCATTTAGTGGAAAATTTAAAACAAAATGTTGTTCAGCATTATACCATTACAAGTGGTTACTAAATAATAAAAGGACTCAACAATTTAATCATCAATAATGATGTTTCACGAAATTGATTTTGCAGTTTTTGAATTACCTATTTCTTTTTATAGTTAAGGGTTGATGTGTTCTTGTTTGATAATCGTCACTGTCAAAATTCTTTGGTTACAAACTTAGTTACGAATGACTTTATCAATACAATTGACGGTTTCCGCCATATTCTCCAGTCTAATGACGATATTCGGATGCTGTCGGCAGCTGTTGGTTTCCTGGACGATAAGCAGAATTCTTTTGGTAACCTCCGTCTAATTGTTGGTAATCATTACCTGATGCTGTCACTTCGGCTTTATATTGACCTAGGAGTAAATAAGCATTGTATTTAACATTGTGAAAACTCGTACTTATTTAGAAATTGCTTTAAATCTAAATTTTATTATAGTATTTGACTAAATCACATAGAGTTTTTCAAAATATTTATATCGAATATTATTTTGTTGTTCAACAAAAAACTTTAGAAAATCAAGGTTGAAAATGTACCAGAATAACGCTTGGCATAAATATTCATGTGTAAAACATTTGATCTAATTACCGTCATCAAAAACTCCATTGGCAGCATCCTTTGCATTTTGCTCGATAGCTTTAGCAATTGCATCAGGTATTGGCGGGGGAGTGGGGAGGTGAGCACCCTGTGCCCTGAAGCCGTTCTCATCAGCTGTGTACGTCACAGTGTAGACCTGACCATCATCACCGGTGTAGGAATATTCACCGGCTGCTTGCGTGCCATGGATGGTTTGACCTTGCTCCTGAGCTTTGATACCTGAGGAGAGGAGAACATTTCCTTTTTAAAGAATAATACTTGAAAAATCGACAATCTTAAGTACTTGAGATCGGATTCGGACCAATGAGCTAACCAATACTGAAAAATTTCTCAAGTACGATAAGAGTCAAAATTTGTGAAATAAAATAAGGGTTTTATTACAAATTGAGAACAAAGATCGCTACTAATTGTGGCGCTTTGTGAGGTTCTAGATTTCGTTCCCAGTCGGGTCTAAATAGAAAAATATTATAATCTCTGGGTGTTGTGATATCTTTGTTGTTTCAAATAACAAATAAATCAGTGATTTAGCTTCTGATCTTGGTATCTTAGCATCAAGTATCGAGTATAAATTTAATTGGTAATGTTAACCAACCATTGTATCAAAAAAAAATTAAATAGTCAACTTACCGTTTTCAGTTTCATAAGCATATTGATAATTGTGTCCATCATTGTCCATGCTATAATGCAAGATCCTTGCGGATTTCTCAGCTGAAGATCTTTGGTTGCCTACATCATGCCCCAATTGTGACTGGGCAGCATAAGCAGCTAATTGTCCGAAGTGTGCTGAAGCAGGGCTTGAAAATTGTTGGGCTTGATTGTGGAGGGTTTGAGCAGGGCTTGAAAAAGGTTGGGGTTGAATATGGAGATTTTTAACAGGGCTTGTAAACTGTCGTGGTTGACTGTGAAAATTTTGAGGACTTGAAATCTTTTGTGGCTGAGTATTGAAACCTTGCCCATGATTAAATGTCATGTGAGTGGAGAAAGTTTGTGGTTGAGTGCTATAAAGACCACGTTGTTGATTCTCTAGTCCTAATTGATAGATTTCTGATGACCGGGCGTAACTTTCTGCTGGGTTGTTGATAACTTGTCCAGCTGTGGCTGCAGCTAGGATGGCAGCGAAAGGCGTTAACTGAAAACAATTAGTTTCAAATTCAATTTCCACACTTAATTAATATTGATAAATATTTTTGAAATCTTTGAATCCAGTGATAAACTTCTTGAACACAAACAGAGAAATATTTGTTTTCAATTTCGTTATAATTAAAATCCTATATATTTTCACCGTATTCTGTGTCTTGTAGTGATAATACGTTATTTGTATGGATAATGTAGGTATGTTTTTAGGAATGAAAATGTCTATATTTCAAATGTTGTGAGGCTTTCTGTATATAAAATAAATTTAAAAAACTGAGATTTAAGTATGATTTCAATTAGTTTTGTTTGTCTAAGGCTTTTTATGGCCATGGCAATATTGATTACAAATTGGACATATAGAGATATAAAAAATAAATACTAAAATCAATCAAGCCCTTAACTGAATTCATAAATTATGATGCCTTAAACAAAAACGTAACGCTATTAAAGAATGGGAGATTAATCTATTTCAAAACATATAAACGCCATCTTTCGTTGAGTAAAATTAACATTGCACTTTAAACTATATATTTCATGTGTTTTCTTGAATTTTATCACCATACACTACGAAAATCTCTTATAATTTAATTTTCACAATTTTAAACACAAAACCTAGGTTTTACGTACCAATTTCATTTTTACAAGTAAATCACTTCGTCCCGTGACAATTGGATTAATAATGTAATAAAAAAATTTCACGAGTACGTTTTTATACCAAAATATTACCTTACACGCATTGCTGTGCGAAGTCACACTACCGTGGCAGTTCGCTACTAAAACTATGAACTAAAGAACTTTACTTATTATTATCTATACTAATATTATAAAGATAAATATTTGTTTCTTGCTTTACGTTGATAAGGCTCCGAAACTATTGAATCAATTTAAAAATTTCTTATACTTACGGGACGTTACATCACACTGGAGAGACATAGCCAACAGCTAGTCTATCATATTATATATTAACAATGTTAATTTATGGAGGATGAAGCTTCACTATTTACATTCATTATAAATATCATTAAAATACTAAAGACATTATGTGAACAGAAATTTAACTAATGAAAATAATATAGTATAATTATTTCTTAACCATTCGTTCACGCGCTCTACTCATCAAATTATTTTAGTCAACGTCGTATAAAAAGGAACCGAAATATCTATAAATATAATATTTGTAAACATGCCCTTCACCTCAGTTAAAAGATTTATTAATAGCTTCATTTGATAAAAGTCACCTCTATCTATAGTGATAATATCTGGGACTTCTCAGGGCACATGGTAGTTTTTATACTAGAAATAGAAATCTTTTCACGAAGTAGTAAATAAGTGATAAAATTAGCTTATAAAAAAGTTTACCAAAATTAAAACAATCTGTATCTTTAATTTTAAAAGACAGAACAAAAAATATGATCTATTCACGTTGAATTTTTTTTTAAATAGAATTTCTTATATTTTCACGCAAACGGAGTCACGAGCAAAATTTAGTTATTGAGTATTCTTAATGATGTTCCAAAGAAAAATATACCACTATAAATAAAAGGTTAATGTAGTTTGAAAAAAAAAAACAAGATTTCTTTCTTTTTAAGATTTTACAAAAATAGTCAATTTTAAATGGAATTGTAAAAAGTGAAATGTTCATAGTCAAAGTAGTCAGCAACAGCTGATCGTGAGCCAAGCGCGAGAGCTATTGTTATGTAGTGTGAAATAACGAGATGCGTCTCAAGAGTGCACAACTGGGTTCCGACGAGTAGACCTAGAATTGCTTAGAAAGGACATTTTCTAAATTCCCTATAGCATAACTTATTTGACATTACTAATAAAATTAATAAATTGACTTATAAAATTAAGAAGTATCTAATTAAGAAGGCAGATATCTTGTGTAATACAAAATTATAACAAACTTTTATCTTTACCGAAAGTTAAAATTATTGTTAAAAAAAATCTTTCGGCTGTTTGGGTGGATTGCCTGAACTTTGATTAAAATACACTCTGTAGTGGTGAAAAAGTAACAAGTGCTTGAAAAACTTGTCAGTGCTGTTGGGTCCTGGGTAGATTGGCTTCGATTACCATCTAAGAGTGCCAGGGACAAAGTCGACTTTAAAATCATTTCTCGTTAAGAAAGCATTATTTTGTTAATCAAAAGTTTTGTCGTTACGTTCTTAAGAAAACTTCTGACAGCAAATGATTAATCTGAAAGCAGTCAAAAGCCTGATTTGACGTAACGATATTTCATTTATTATTTTCGTCATATACTTGTCTGCTAGTTATTAGCTCTATGTACACTTTCGTACCTCACGCCGGTAATTCATTATCGTGTGTTCATACAAGACTGCCACACTAACTAACAAACTAACCACAATATTATATATTCATTGTGCGTACCTGTTACTAAACTTAAATTAAAAGGGGTAAAGCACTGCCATCATTACACTCATGGCAATTAATTCATTAGCGATCATTGAAGAACGAATCTTTTGTAAAATTGTAATAAATCAGAAAATTGTAATAAAGTAGCTCGGTGGTGTAGTGGATAAGCGCCGCGGCCCGCGATCGTTGTCGTTAAGCAACTTTCGCAAGGGTCTATCACGGGATGGGTGACCAAAAAATTATTATCTCGAGCTACTACTACTACTACTACTACTCCGTGCTTCGGAAGGCACGTTAAGCCGTTGGTCCCGGCTGCATTTGCAGTCGTTAATACCCTCCAATCCGCATTGGTCCAGCGTGGAGGGTCATGGTCCATCCTCCTTAACCATCCATTAGGAAGTCCTGAGCCCCTGCAGTGGGGACGTAAAAGGGCTGGTGATGATGATGATGATGATGAATAAATCCTAGCTACTAACTAGCCGAGTGGTTCACATGCCGGTTTCAAGATCATCACCGTCTCTGGGGTCTTGGGTTTGAATACCGGTAGAGTCAAATTAGAAAATTAACTCTTCTATATTGTCTCGAGACTTATTGTCGTTGTCCGTTCGTTTTCTCAGATACTCCATAATACAGGAACTTTAGCTATTCATATTAATCTGAGCAATGTTTGTGATACTGAGAATTATATTTCTTTTATTTACCACCAACAAAAATTTTGCTTATCTTTCTATGTGAGTTATCAAAGAAGTCCTAATTTGTTGCACTAGCAACTAAGGAGGTATGCCTTATTATTATTAAGAAAAAAAGTCGTTTGTGTGACATATTTTTTCTTGGCGCCACTAGCTGTCAAAAAATTGCGCCAATTTTGAAAGAAAATTTGTTACTCCGCGAAACTTCATATTTTTTTTTTTGAAAAGAGGTAAGAATCTGTTTTTTTATTATGTATTTTTGTTTATTCTTCAAGTTGTTTGCTATACCTTAGAAGTTACTATCGTATTTAGATTTGAGAGGACTTTTTACTTGGTGGGAAAAATATTCCCGCTGCCCGTGGCGTGTTATATACACTTGTTGTACTAGTTCCTTCTTTTCTCAGGTTTTTATGAAAAATGCCGCGTTATTTTAATGAAAATGATATTGAAAAGACATTGGAGCAGATTTTCGGCATTCCCGATGATGGCTCAGAAGACGGATTTGAGTCTGATGAGGCAGAAGAGTTCAACGTGAATACAATACAACGGTTACTTGAATCAGATGATGATTCTAGATATTATACAATCATCATCACCCTTAGAACAAGGATTGACTGATGAATCTGAATGTGAAGATGAGTCATGGGGGAAGGATTTCTGGACATCCAGGCCAGATCCCGATGAATTTGATAAGGTGACAATAAAACCTCGATATTTATTGAATAGGAGAGCACGTCCAGTAGCGCATTTCAAAAAGTTTTTTAGTGATGAAGTGTTCGATTTGATTGTTACTCAGACAAACTTGTATGCGGAGCAGCAAAATATAAAAAATTGGCAGCCTGTTGACAAACAGGAAATTAGTGCTTTTTTGGGCATTCTCATTATAATGGGTTATCATATTCTTCCACAAATCGATTTATATTGGTCATCGGATCCTGGATTTCATGTGAAGGAAATAGCTGAAGTTATGCCAGTAAAACGCTTCAAAAAAATTTTAGAGACTTTGCATTTGAACGATAATAGTCAACAACCAAGTAGAGAAGATGTAAATTTTGATAAATTATATAAAATTCGTCCTCTTATATCCTTACTTAGTCGATCATTTCAAAACAATGCCTCTAATTCGTCTTCGCAAAGTATAGATGAGAGCATGATACTATTCAAAGGAAGGTCCAGTTTGAAGCAGTATATGCCGTTAAAGCCCATAAAAAGGGGCTATAAAGTGTGGTGCTGTTGTGATAGTAGCACAGGGTACTTATATAACTATGAAATTTATACAGGCAAAACAGGACAAGGAACAGAAGAGGGTCTAGGGGCTAATGTCGTAAAGAAATTGTCAAGTAAATTAGCACAAGAAGATTTCAAGACTCATGTTACATTCGATAACTTTTTTTGCGACTTTTCTCTCATGCAGTACTTGTATGAAAAAAATATTTATGCCACTGGAACAGTAAGAAGAAATAGAGCAATTTTACCTAACATAATATAAATAAAAACGGCAGAAACAAAAGCCTAAAGTTGAAAAAAGGCGAGTTCAAGTGGAGAACTAAACAAGATGTAGCATTTACTGTGTGGCAAGATACTAAAGAGGTTTTATTGTTGACAACTGCATTTCATCCTAAAGTAGAAGTAACTTCTGTACAAAGAACGCAAAAAGATGGCACCAGGGAGGCTGTACATTGTCCTAGGGTTGTGAAAGAATACACCAAACGAATGGGCGGTGTCGACCGTTTCGACCAAGTGAAGGGGACGTATGCTGTCGGAAGGAGAAGTAAACGCTGGTGGTTGCGGATATTCTACTTCTTGGTGGACGCAAGTTTGACAAATCTTTCATTTTATATTCCCTAACATCAAGAGTAGAAAAGCTTACTAACTTAGAGTTTCGGGTGGCTGTTGCCAGAGGTTTGATTGGTGGCTATAGCAGCAGAAAAAGAAGATCAAGCTTGCCTACATACATAGAAATCACGCATAGCATGCCCAGAGGTATATCAAAAAAGTATAAATGCTGTACCTGAAGAACTGCGGTTTATAAACGTAGGTGACCATATGCCGGCAGAGTTGGAGACTTACCGACGCTGTAAATTGTGCAGCACAAAGGTCAAAGATAAGCGTAGCAAAATAAAATGCAGTAAGTGTAATGTCCCTCTTTGCATTACGCCTTGTTTTGCACAATTTCACAGAAAATAATGTCACAAATTTAGCTTGCATATGTGTCTGTGGGTGATGATGATGGGCAGTGGGAATATTTTTACCACCTATTTTTCCAAAACTTCTGAAATAATTAGTGTTTTTCTTTTAAGTTTATTTTTATTATATAAATAAAAACATGCCAAAAATGTAAGTGCAAGTTATTTTATACCTCTGAATCCTTCTGCCTTATAAAGGGTTAATTGAACTTTAATGCTTGCCTCAAACAATATAAACCAAAACCTTCACTATAAATTAATCATTAACCTATTAACGTTCCCACCGAGTGGAAGGGGCCTAAGTATGGATGAAATGGAATAGGAATAACGGCAACGACTCGTTCAGATTGGTGGGTATTGATGACTGCAGATGCAACCGGGACCAAGGTTTAACGTATCTTCCCAAGCATGAAGGAGCTCTAAATACTAAAATTGGTTACCCATCCTCTAACCGGCCCTAGAGAAAGTTGCCTAAACTACATCGCAAATCAACACATTTTATTTTTTATGATATCATTTAATATTTCCTTCATAATATAGTGAGCAGAGTTTTGGGCGTTTGTAAGTGTTATTTTAATTATTTCGCTACATTTATTTATTGCATGTCACAAAGCAAATAGTTGTTACATCGAGAGAGTGAGTACATTAAATCATTTACTTTCAACTGGTATTGTGTCAAACAAATAAAGTTTTTTCAACACATCATATTTCTAAACGTTCCGTCACAGTCAAATTGTGAATTAATAAAATTTTCTCAAAAGAAATATTTAGCAAAGTTACAATAAAATTCACCATTATCTCTAACGCCTGTTGTTGTTATACAGTTTTTCATAAGTTAAATTAGTAAACTCTGCAGCCGAGAGCTTTATATAGCACGTTTAAATTATCAATTAAATAATAGCAAACAATTTTCACCTCAAGCTACCTTTGTCCCTGAAGTGGAAAACACATTATGATCTGTAAACCATAAAAGTGTGCCTTAAACTGTAAGTAAAGCTAATAAATAAATTAAAAATATTACTACAGCTACTTTTGCATTTATCCTTGGTGGAAATTTACGATTAATAAGGGATATGATGTAGCTGACGTATCATGTAATATAAATACGATATAAATAATGATGTGACTCATATACTTTTGGTAAAAAGTACATGTGCAATATTGTTTTCGTCTTTTCAATTACCTTTCTGTCTATTGTCCATTAAGTAATACATCATAATAGTATCAGACGTTCATTGTTGAAATATCTAAACAATAGCTTATCATGACAGTGGACACGGAACACAAATAAAGGTTCGAGTACACTAACCCATTGAGACCCTGCGAAACGCAACTTGCGTTCACCATTCGACATACGGTTGCTATTTACTACATCATGTTTGACACGTTTTGTATTTCATTAAGTGGATTCCCAACGGTTTTATTAATTATATTAATTGTAAAGAGATGACACCAATGTTCTAAATTTAGTTTTTTTATTTATCACAGAATAGTTCATAATGACAGGTATTGTGTATTGCGTTTACATTGTTGTATTATCAATACACTGATTTTTTTTTTATAGTTTTAATAAAAATAAGTTTCGATTAAACATTTACGTTATGTTTGTTAAAAGAGTTAAAACTGAATAAATTTGAAAAAGCCACTGGTAAGAACTAGTTATATTTTAAGCGCATAGCAACTTTTATAAATTTTAAAAATCTTTAATATTTCAATAATTATATATAAAAAAAATAAATAGATTTAAAAAATTCTTTCAATACAGGCAGCTACATCATACTCAGAACACACAGGCTGTAATTTACGCGAGCGAAGTTTCGTGTAAACCGCTGGTATTATTATAAAAGTATACTGATAATCGGATATAGTAAGTGACAAAATAATGTCGTAATGTCAACAGCATTTTTTTATTATTTATTAAGGAGCAGAAATGTAAGGGTGCATTTCCATCACATATACATGTACTATACTATATGAAAGTTAAACTATAAAATTAATGCTCGTTTCCACTGATATCAAGCAATGTAGAGCGATTTCTTCACGAGTTAACTGCGCTGCGAAAGCTATGCGATACATTGACACAGTAGGCGATATACTGTCTTCTGCTGTGTACATATCACGTGACCCATCTTTACCAAGCATAATTAATTATTATTCAGAGGTTTTGGATTCTATACAGGTTCCGTGATCATGAGACTAAGATGTTGGTCATCTTAAAATGACAAAAAAATATATAATTACGAGTACCTACCTTCAAACAGCACTTTAGGAATGGATTCATAGTACTGTTGGTAATCACGTAAAGCAAGGTATCCTCCTTATATTAATCTCACGCTATACTATGCTAAATCACATGCTAGACCCAATTATTATCACCCTTCCTTTCCAGCAACGTGAAAAAAACACTATACTAAAGTAGCACATCCCTGATGGAAAAGCACCTTAAGTTGGCCATCTTAAATTGTGACCGCTTGTAGTTAGATAAGTTTATGTAAGTAATTATATTTTATGTGTTCATGTAATAATATATTTTGAGTACAATATTTAATGTAGCATTGTTTTTTAATGAGCTTTTGTCAGGCCTAACTTGACTTACTGAACGAATACCTCGTTATTGGAGGTGTAATTTCATAGCTGGACGTTTGTAGAGATGGTAAATAAAATGGCAATTGATTAAAAAAAATTGTAGCATTATAACCTAAGATCTTTGTTTGATAAAAGTACCCGCACTTGAAAGGGTTGTTTACTTTATAACAAAAGTTCCCATCGCCACTTTCCAGATCCATCATCAGTCTTTGCATAGTATATCGGAGCAAAGTCTTTAGCTCTCACTAGAAAACTATTAAATAAAAATAAATATTGAACAACTTCACATACATTGCTCAGTTTCCAAGATGAGTAGCTAAAGTTACCATATTACGAAGTATCTGAGATAACAAAGGTAACACAACACCCAGTCCCTTTTACTCGAGGTACCGGGGGCTGGCGGTAGGTGATCAAATAATGGACGTGGAATGTAGCCATAGGGCATCTGTAATTAAACTTAGCAAACCTATCGAATTTGAGCTCGTATAGTTTATCTTTACGAGGACTTTGCCCCGATATAAAATCCAAAGTCTGATGATAGAACAGCAAGGTAATATACTTGGAAATTTAAGAAGTTTCTATGTACAGTTTGATTTTATTACGATTAAACAACTTAATACTGTTGAGAGTGGACACGTTTGATTAATATAAACATATACATAAGAACTCTGGTTCAATATTCTACTACAAATGCTTATTTAAAAAAAGCTTTGATATTGATTATTACTTAGATACATAGAAACAAAGAATACTAAAGCTCATTTTCTATACTAATATTATAAAAAGGAAAGACTTGATTGTGTATTTATTGGCATTGAAGAGGCTCCGAAATTACTTAAATAATTTTAAAATTCTGTTAGTTACGGGAAGCTATATGTTACGCGGATGATATAGGCTATTATTTACGCGGGCGTAGTGCGGAAAAACAGGTAGTAATTAAATAAACTGGGCACTATTCGGGTGTTGAAAGATGATATCAATTATAATATAGTAAATACCTAGACTTAAACACTATTACTTTTAATTCTTTTTAACGTTTAAACACTGCTTATTGAAAAAAGAAAACCATTAGCAGTTAAGAAAAATCATTTCTATTTAAAAGATTTGTCCCGTCAAATTGATTCACTTGAAATACGTTATCAGATAATTCTTTAAGATTCTAAGGTATATGTGTCAACTCGGGACTTTACACGGCAACCAAATGAAATTGGCGTTCAACCATGAATGTCAACCAATATGGCACCTTATTACAATCTTACTTCATAGATTGATTACTACCAAGAGAGGGTGTGACTTAATTCGATGGTTCTTTTTGAATTAAAGTTTAACTAAAAAGTCATTGATTGAAACTGTTTTTAAATAGTTTTATTCTTTAAATTTATCGTTATTATTGGTTAATTTAGTAGTATCTTGGACGGAATGCACTTTGTTGGTACGGTTTGGCTTGATGATATGCGCGTGCTACAACCACGCCTGATCCGGCGTACTTCCCTTCGTGGTAGCTTCCTGAAATCGAGATAAAATCTATATTGATCTCAACTCAACAAATGGTCGGTTCTTTATGATTCTAGGTAGTGTTAAAGGAAAGAAACTTACTAGTAAAGACTAGTCCGCTGTTATCTTTTTTCATAATACACATACACACATGCACAGTAGAGCATGTCTAAGTTATGTAGAGTTTTAGATATCATATTATTATTGAGTATTATAGAACCCAATGCAGAGTACCCTCACTGGAAGGACGGAAAAATCGAGATCGTACAAGTCAGATTACTAGTAGATTTATATTCATCATCATCGTCACAAGCATTCCTTTTAATTAAAATTGAATCTAACTGAATAGACAGATTAAGCCATGACCTACTATTTGGAAACAGTGTGATTGGTGTGTATCAACGACTGCAAATGCAAAAAAGCGCTAAAAGATAGAGATAGTAAATTTTTGGTCACTCATCTGACTCTGACTGACTTTTACTTCACTTGAATATCGCGCTAACCGTAATTGCCATCGAGCTCCTAAACTGCTTTATTATATCAAATTTATTATTTACCATCATCGTAAATGCCGGCAGCTTCATCTCTCGCGTTCTCTTGCAGCGCTCTCGCGATAGCTTCAGGCACAGGTGGAGGTGTAGGTATATGAGCCCCTTGAGCTTGGAATCCGTTGGAGTCTGCGGTATACCTCACACTGTACACCTGACCGTCATCACCGGTATAAGAATAGCCGCCTTGAGCTTGAATACCATCTGCTTCGTGGCCCGTTTCTTCAGCTGCGATTCCTGAAATGAGCAGGAAAACGTTTCGAGTATTAAATTTATAAATATACTATACAACTACTATTTTTTATATAAAAAAGTCACTGTTTACTTTGAACTGAAGCCAAATTTAAATTTTATATACAGTGGTGAAGCGCGTTGATGTCTTTTGTATTGAAAGTTTACGTCTTATAATAAAATAGGTGTTTTCTCACAACATTGCTTACGTAAGTTGTGGCACCCGCTTAAGATGTAGCTTTCCGTAGGCACATAGGTTAAAAAAAATATATATATTCTGTAGTTTGAAGGTTATTCAATGTAAACAAACAAATAAACAATGAAATCTTTCTTCTGTATACTAGAAGTATAGATACACCAAAACTTCGTCAGTGTTTGTCTTACCATATTAATACAAAAAAGTGAGTATTAAAATCACCAAATTAGTAATCCACGACTTAATATCGTTCAGTAGGAAAGGAAAGCGCGTTGATGTTTTTTGTATTCAAATAATGTTACTTATAAAAAAAGTGAAGACAGTTATATTACTGATTTTTATTGATATATAATTATCATTTATTTTACTTTTCACTTTAACATCTACAATACTTTGTCTATACTGTGCCCTTGCAATTTTTTATCTTGAATTGGAAAATCATTACAAGGTTAAATTGAATGAAAATATAATTCACATTGGAAAACGAATGAATATACAAAACTAAATATTTGAAGATTTAAATAGAGCTGAATATATGTATAAGGTATACGGGATTCAAACCTACATCACCTGATAATTTATACCAGCGCTTTCGATTATTAGTCTGCATCTGCGATTACCAACACAAACTGCTGCACTTATGGACACAAACTGTTGCCACTATGGATACAAACTGTTACAATCATTGACACAAACAGCTGGGATTATGGACACAATCCGACGTAAATATAGATACAAAACGGGATAGTATCTCTTTTCTTAAAACAACATATAACCATTATTCTAACCCGTTACAAGTAATATCTAGTAGTTTCAATAACACAGAGGAAGGACGGTGGGATTCGTCAAGTTTATTAACAGAAATTTCCATAAGAACATTACTAAAGTACCTGTAGAGCAAATAACATGTGTTAGACCATATAGTTTACTTACCATTGTCAGTTTCGTAAGCGTAATGGAAGCCTTGTTCGTTGACGTCTGAGGAAGAACGTAGGATTACGGCGTTGCTGTCCAACGCTGCACGTGGTCTGGTCTGCTGGTAGTAGCTCGGTGAATGCGAGTACTGTCCTTGAGGCAAAGCGGTACATACCGCGATGAATGCTGAGATCACGAACTACAAATAAAAAAGGAATAATTATTTTTTTCAAATTATTTTGACCGTTGAATTTTATGATTCTAAATGTTTGTGAAATATTTCATGGCGTTTTTGAATTGTCTATATTTTTTAAGCAACACTATCTTTTTTCTGAGATTTAGAAATTCACATACATACATTGGGAAAATATTTTTAAAATTCATTTAATGTAAGTCGTTTAATCTTTAGGTAGCAGGTGATCGAATAATATTCAATCAATATATTACATCGGCATATAATTACAACAGTGATAAATATTTATTATAGACAAGCCTAAATAATTAAAACACCATTGTTATAAGAATTGGATACAATGAAAGTGGGTGGCACTTCGAATGTCGAACCTGCTACCATAGAAGTAATGGATGACTCTATAGACAGTACTTGATATAAATGTCATGTGCAACGCAAATCTATGATTAGTAAAACACAATAAAGAATTTCAAAGAAATTCAACTTCACCATCAAGCTATTGTTAGGCTATTTTCAAATCATTAATTAATATGACTTAAAAGTAAAACTAATATATGAATTTTAGGAAGGGTTAATGAAGGCTGTCAAGCTGAAATATAATGTGATATTAATTAAAAATAAATTAGTGCTTGTAGTTGGAATTAAATTAGCCCCAATTTCAACTCAAAAATTAATCAGCATATCAAGTTACAATTGGTACTTTATGTTCATTAGTCAATTTTGAACTCTTTTATCAGCAGGTTATGGTTTAAAATCTTTTAGAGAAAATACGTAGTTTTGTTATCCTGAATACGCCCTTCAGTTTTACTGAACACTTATTTATTTTTTAGATTAGAGCTTTTAAAAAAGACGGTTAATTCGTAACACTATAAAGCAGCTAGATCACACAACCGATAAAGCTAAAAATTTCTCAATCCAATCATAATTTAAACGATCGATAAAATATAACAAACCAATTTCATGTTGATGCTTTGATGTACGTTGTCTGAATGTTGTCTGTCTGTCTGATTCCCGATTTATATAGGTGGCCATTTTGACAGATTCACTGTCAAGGTTGCGTAGGAAGAGTCAGAGCTGACATAGCATTGTTAGATGTTTCCGGCAAGGTTCGATTCGTAATAATTCGGACGAAAGAACGATGTTGATTGTTCGTTTAATATCATAATTATTTGTAGATCAATTCGGAATACAGTGTTATTAACAAATACGTCATATACTATATATTATTCGTACCTATCTATAGAATTGTAATCATGGTCACCGTAAAGAAACGCATTTTTTTATTACTTTCCAGGGGAGCATTTTTTTTTATTTAAATTAAATATCTTATTTTATGTGAAATTTATAAATGTAAGCTAAAAAAAAGTGTTTGTTTCTAAAAAGAGTTAAATTGTAACAATACTGGTTATATAAGGAGGAGGAAGTCAATTTTGTTATTTATATCGTATACTAATTTTCCGCCGGCATCTTTACCTGAGTGATTTACATGATGACTTGACTTCCCTAGGGAACCGTTTATTAAAAAAATCTTTTATGTTAATTCAGGCTTCGGATTATCGGGATACTGAATTTATTTAAAATCCGTTTAGTTGAAGTTGAACTTGAAGAAGTGACAAATATCCAAACCCAGAGTCTTTATAATTTTACTAAGATTATGGACTTCCGTAGATGTACTTATGATACATGATAGTCAAAAGTTAAATATATTTCTATATTGCTATGCCTCCAGAAAAGTCTTAGACTTATACAAATATAGAGTCATCTAGATAAATTGTGCGCAGCAGGTTAGCAACCGCATACCAAGTAATATTCATAAATTTTTGGAAACAATTGATAACATAATCAACCGCACCTATTGGTACCCCTTAGGAAACGAACCCCAAAGTATTGCCCTAAACAGTTTGCCAGTCTATCTTAAATTTACATATTCTTTTCTTGTTTCTATTTTCTAGAGATTTAAAATTCAGGATGGAAAAAATAAAAATTTGTAGCAGCGGTAAATTTTGCATTGGATCTTTCTTGTTATCTGATAAAATTATAAATCTAAAAATGTATCCATATCTTTCACAAAAAAACATGTTGATATCATGTTAGTATATGCATCACCCAGAAGCGCTTAAAATTGAAACTGTTTCAGTTAGATATTTTGCAATCCAATCTTTATTCCTATGTGATAGGTGTCACTTTCGTAATCAAGGTGTTGCAAATACTAGAAACGCCACTAAAAGCTTTATTGAGTATTAGCTGCGTAATGATAGCATCAGTTTGATGTTACCGACAGCTTTTATCGTGCATTAATTGGACTATTAACTTTTTAGAATAAAAAAAAATAGTCTGCACTATTCCTTATTTATATAAACATAGTATAAAGCAAAGTCAGTTACCGCTGTTTGTACGCTGAGATCTTTTAGACTACAGAACAGATTTTAACGCAGAGTTTTTCGCAAGATAAAGGTAATGTATAAGAGGACCACGCGATCGAAGCCCGCTGTTGGAAAGCTATTTACCTATATAACCGAGCTTTAAAGGCATTTTATTACAATGTTAATAACATAACATACATTGGTCAATAAAATTAATAATTATGCTAATCACTTTGCTGGCGATGGCTGGAATTGAGATTTTCTATAACAATTATTTTAAAAAATCTTTATCTCAAGGTCAAAAGGCAGTGGGCAGGACATATAGCCCGAAAGAGTGGGACATAAAAGACCAGTAGGGAGACCGCAGTTGAGATGGAAGGATGACATCCAAAAGGTAGTGGGCAAAAATTGGATACTTATGGCCCAAAGTAGAACAAAGTGGAGGAGGTTGAAGAAGACCTACACCAAAATGGTCGAACAGGGCTTATGATGATGATGATCATGAATTATTTTCATCATCATTAATCACCAACCTATTAATATATTCACTGGGGTTAAGCACATGTCTTCGCTAAGACTGAAATGAAGTTGAATCAAATCGAAAAGGCAAAAATTGAATCGAAAAGGGAAAATGGTCCATGGGTGTTGATAGCTGCAAATGCCGCCAAGTCGGGCACAACTTTCCTTATGAGTCACGGAGGAGCTCAACATAATAAGTATTTGGTCACACATCTTAAGACTAGCCGCATCGCAGACCGAACGCATACATTTTTGTAACATAGAGCTTCTTCACCATTACCATAATTATAATTTGCATTTTTTAATTGTACGAAAAATTTTCATGTCGTTTCATTTCACACCTAAACAAACTCCATTAATCATCTTTGTCATTGATGATTTATCGATTTCATAATTAAATTGATGACTGTGAATGACAAAAATAACAATGAAAAAAAAAACAAAAACTAATAAGAAACATTAAAAATATATTTCTATATCTTCACGCCCCGTATCCCTTGCGGGATAGACAGAGAGGACCGAACGCAAAAAAAAATATGCTAGTAATTGGAAAAAAAATATTTTTTTGTAAACCCTGATATATAAATTAAATCAAATAGAATAAAAGACTAGGCGACAATCACAGCTGCGGAATAAAGCTAAAAATTAAATTGAATAATGAAAATAACAAAAAGTATACAGAACTTGAAACAGAAAAAAGGCGATTGCTACGGGAGAGAGATCTTGAAAAAGATAGTTTCGTTGGGCTGACAGATTTTAAGGCGCATTTGGATATGCATTAGTATAGGAACGCATAACACCCTTATTTAGGCAGTCATGTTCACTATCGATATGTCCCGTGGGAGATATTTGTATCATAAACAAAAGGAACATTATTATTGAAACGGGAAACACTTACAGGCGACATCGAGACAAGATGGCTGGGCTATTAATTGTGAACTTATATTATGGCCGTCCATACGATAAAGAAAACAATAGTTTATAGTAGTAGTCCATGGTCGCTTATCGGGCCATCAGATGATTAATCTTGCTTCAAATCATTCCGGGATCTTGATCAGATTGATCATATAAAGTGTTGATTGATCCAGATTGAAATGTATCACATATTAACTAGATAATTTGTTTTTGTCATCAACCTGCAACTTTGATCTGATTACGATCCATATTGATCGTTTAATGGTCGGCTCATACTCACCAAATATTTTAAAAAGCACCAATATTTGCATTTGTTTTTGCGTTAATTCACTCCGATACATCGTTCTCACCTGCCATTAGTCTTTATTCCGCTTTTGAGACCAATAAAAATAAGCCTTATCTTACGTACGAAATATCATAGTTTACACGCACAATCGTAACCAATAAGGACAATGGCGACATTTAAAGATAATATTAAAACTGGTTATCCATTTCAAAAGATTTTAAATTTTAAGACAGCACGATGTTGCTTACATTTGACTTGGTAATTAAAAATACTAATTTTACATCATAAGAGTTACCTTCAATTTGTATGAGTATATGCTCTAGTCACTGATTCACTTACAATTTTTTTTTCTTTATCACTTCATCTGTATATAAAGCAAGCAACTGACAATAACCTTCTTCAAAAATAGGGCTATCAAATTAGGCCCTACGAGATTTTTTTTCCTCTATTAGTACGTCTAACACTGAACAATATATAAAATAAAAATCCTTGCATTGTAGTAAGTAGAACTTTCAATAAAACGATGAAATAACCAATCGTAAGTTTTAATTATATCACGACAAAACATTAATGTCAAATAAAATGATTGGTAATCGTTTGCAATATATTGGCATTACACTAAAATCTCACTCTTAAATTAATCTAACGAACTTCTATGGGATAATATTAATAAAATGTTTTGTTGGTTTCAATTCATTAAGTGATTTAATCATAAGGATAAAATATATATTGCAATGTTGACGTCAAAAATCTAATAAAATTGACATCAAATAGGATGAACGGTCCATAAACTATCACTTGGGTTCAGTGAAATTTGATGGGTGTTAGGACCGTGTAGAACTGGAGATGCAGGTAGGACCAACGTTTTAATGTACTTGCCTTCAGCTCGAGGTTAAAAAAAATATCCTAATCTTAATCGTCTCGTTCGCGCAAATACAATTTCCTACCTACCAATCCACTCTGGGTCCGCGTGGTGAGTCTTAATCCAGTTTCCTTGATCGATTCCATCCATAGGAAAGCCCTTGCTCTAGTAATGGGGGACATTGATAGGCAATGATGATGAAGCTCTGAGTCAAATAGATTGTTTCATAATTGTCAGACATCAGATAGTAATTAAATTTTAATGCCAGACTCTTAAGATAAAAATTCTATATATCGTGGACTGTTTCGAACTTTTTCCTGCTCTTACTTACTCATTTTATTTTATAGAGTAGGACAGAGTACGATTAAGTTGACGCTATATCGAAAATTGGTTTTCAGAGTACAATCACTGTACTTGGAATATGTACATATCTCGATCTTCTCTTGCTTCCAAATTCTTCAACTTTTTAATTTTTACTATCCAGATGGCTCTTTCTGATCTTTCATATATCTAGCAAATGGAAAAAAAAACTTACTTATATAAAGTTTCTAACTTTGGTTATCTTTATGGGGTAATCTAAGTATACTAAGTTTCTAACTCTGTTTGTTTATTTGTAGGTGGTAATACTGATCCAACCAAAAAATTCTTTTATCTGGAGGAAGCTGCATTATACACTGATGCTATAGGCTATAATTTCGCCGTGAGAAAACAGCTACCTTTCCAGTTTAAATTCGTCCAGGAACTTCAAGCGGAAGATACAACCGCAATAAATTCCTTGTAAGCTACGCATAATCATTAGGTATTATTAGTAGATGGGTGTCTAACTTAACGTATGAATCACGTCGCCTTGACACGAACGTGGGAGGAACAATATGTACGGATAGACAAAACGATAATGTACAAAATAATTAAGCTATTGTGTCGTGGATCATTAGGGATTAAACATTGTTTTGAGACAAACAAGGTGATATAGCACCTACATTCGGTTCACTGAAATTTTCTTACTTTTGTAAACATTTAAGATGAAATTTTCGATTGGCAATCTAATA